TAATAGTGAAAATAATGCGGTAGGCAGGTGTGTGTGTGGGAGTGTGGGTGTGTGTCCAAAGTACTTGTTCTGCCTCTGCTCCAGTAGGCAGGTGTGTGTGTGGGTGTGTGTGGGAGTGTGGGTGTGTGTCCAAAGTACTTGTTCTGCCTCTGCTCCAGAGTAAGATCCAGAGGGACAAGGGCAAAAAGAACAACTACTTTAGATTTTGACTGACCTAGGTTCTTAAGTCAGTTTTGGGTAATTTCTTCAACAAAGATGCCAGTAGAAACTGTAGACAGTTCTTTTAGTCATCTTTTAAAGACTTCAGCTTTCCCATTTGTGGGCTCTGCAATGATCAGGCTTCTGGAAACTTGTTTCTGGTTTCCTGGAGGTGTTGAAGAATACCCAAGTTTGGTCTGTTTGTCTGCTCTTGATTTTTGACTCTAAGCATTTTGAGTGACAGAAATACCCTGGATGCAATAATATGTCCGTGTCAGTCCTGGTTATGTGAGCTTTAGAACAGTTGTGGCCTTAAAATGAAGCTGTGTTTTGTTTTTCCTTTCTTCTCTTTACCCATCTGAGCAGTGCTTATTTGGAAAGCTTTCGGTGCACTGTCTAGCCCATAGCGCCCCATGCTGTGCTGTCATGCTTGTGAAGCTTTCATGAATGCCTTTGCCTTTATTATAGATATTCTCTTCTTGTACCAGGGCAGCCTCCGGTTGTGTGGATGTGCAATGAATGGTGAAGCCACTTGCTAAATCTCAAACTCACTGCTTCTCTTCAGGCACCAGAGCTTGCTGAGCTGGGACTCTGCTATTACCAAGCCTGACTCATTCATTCGGTCTGATGGCACCATTTCTCTATTTTTCAGTCATGGATAGATGAAGTATTTCTGAATTACCCTTTTTTTTCTGACTCCAGCTTTATAATTTCCCTTTTAAGAAGTTACTCAATTTTCCTCTTTCTCCTACTGGTGGTGCATTGTTTGCTTCAAGGGCTCTGGTCATTCAGGTTCAGCTTAGTCCTTAGTTGGAATGCTTGGTTCTCTTTTTCTGGGTGATCTCTGCTCTTAGCAGATAAATAAGATCTATAACTAATGTTAAAAGAATAATATTTTAGAGACATTATGACTGTTTGGCCTTTACTCAAGATATCAGGCATTTGATCTTACTTGGTGATCTCTCTTAAGGCACAGCTGAGTCACTTTTTCACAAGGTGCCTAAGCCCAAGAAGATTAGGTGCAAGACTCACCTAAAACATTCAAATCCAGTGCAAAATAATTAGGCTCATTTTGTTCAGGAATCCTAGCTGTGTGAAACCTCCCAGAATTAGGCATCTAGACAAGGGTATCAGAATCAGTTTGCATTTGCTAAGAGATATCCTGAGATGCAGGAGTTTCTAGGCTAAAACTGTAACATCCCTGGACTACATGGTGTTGGGCACTCTATGTCTAGCACACTTTGTGCACAAAAGCTTTATCTGAAATAAAACAGTATTTTAATTAAAGCTTAAAAATGAGGAGAATTACTTGATCAAATGACTTCACCTGTGGGGCTAAAAAAAAGTGCATTCTTTTTTCCTTGTAAGATTGCCATTTTCAGTGGGGAAAAGAATAATATCACTACTTATTTTTTCTTATAAGCAAAGCAGGACCTCAAACTCTGTTTGAGGAATGACTCCTTCCCAGAAATTTAGGCACTGAATTGATTGCCAGTCACTTGTTCCTGTCCATCTGCTAATTCTCTCCACATCGAAGGAGCAGCTGTCGTTGCAGAAATGTTACAGTAGATAATAGGATGGGGTGCTTTTCATCTTCAAATCTATAAAACAAATCCCTTGGAAGAGCAGCGGCAGTTCTTCAGACCACACAAATCTCTGATATTATTAACATAAAATGCCTGGTGGATTTGGAGATTGGAAGCAAACAGATTTTCTTTAAAAAGAAAAGTTTTCCAGTTTGGGTAGTGCATATTGTAATAATTTGCAATTGCACTGTTAGAGGAACTACCAAAGCCATAGGACCATACTTCAGAATCACTGCCACACATAGACTCTTTAATACAAATATAAGCCTATGGGACTTCAAAACTCCATGCATACCAAAGGGGTGATTCATTGCCTCCATCCCGGCAAAAGAACCAACCAAATAAAACTTTTCCAAAACTAATAGCTTCCCTAACTTCCCTATGTCTTCCATTGACCCAGTTTCTTTCTGAAACTATGTACTTGGGTAACGTTAAGTGCTGTCTCTTTGGCAGTTTAATGGCACAAATTCCAGTCAGCAATTTATATTGTTTATTCACTTGAATTTGTTGTAGGTGAATTCTTTTCTGCTCAGTCCTATTGCTTGCAACCCTGAATGTGCTAAAGTCAGCTGGTCTTTAAAACAGACCATAGCCTCTTCCCTCCATTCCCTCCCCAGGCATCTCTGTTCCATTTAACCTGCGCATAGCTATTTGGTTGTTCTTCACAGGGAAAAGGATGAGGATGAGGTAAGGAAATGATGAACAGGGTTGAAATTGTGCTGTGTATCCCAGACCACTATAGATACAGGTGTAGATAAAGGTACAGATGCTGATGTGGATGTAGATGAGGATATGGTCATGAAAATAGACATAGGCACACATAGAGTTATAAACACATTTATTAATAAAGCAGGTATTATTTCACTTGGCTCTCAAGATACTCCTGGAAGATAGGCTCAACATACTTACATTTTGTCCATATGAAAATACTGATTCTCAAAGAGGCCCCCAAACCCCATACCTGATATTGAACTTAAGGTTGGAAATAAGGTCTTCTTAGCCAAAACTCAATCTTTTCTTGCAGCACATTTTTTTTTCTGTTTTGAAGAAGTGTAATACAGACTTGCATTTCTCCTGTGTGGTAACCTATAGGTCTTCCCCGTGGAAGTGTTGCTCTTTAACTTGGTCTCTGCAAAGCACAGGGAAATAAGAGGCAAAGAGAGTTGATACAGGATTGCTGGCTACTGCACACATATAATGCTTCCATTTTCATGTATACAAACATAAATGTGTTTAAAGGACCTCAAATGATTTCATTTGAAATCAACCCTTCAGTGTTGATCAGAATCCAGGTCAAGGCAAAGAGAACATAGAATAGTTAAAGAGAATCCTGAGTTTTTCAGATATTGTGATTGAAAAATACCTTGATCTAAGGAAAAAAAAATTAATCACTTTAAGCACAGCGAATATGCTTAGGAGCAGGTCTGGTTGCCCACCCTTTTCTATTTCTGTTGGCATTAAAGATCTGCTTCATATTTACCTCCATTCTTGGTCACCAGGCAAAATAGAAAACAAAATAAACAAAGAAGCAAAAAACCAAAAAAACCCACCTATGTCTAGATGTCATTTCTAGTAAAAATAAGAGAGAAGAAAAAAAAAGTACTAAGAAAAAAGAAAAGCCACAGAGGAAAATGCACGAAACCTACCATTCCTCTAGTCAAAATATTTTAATGGTAAAACCAAGATGAATGATTAATCTAAAGATTTTCTGCTTCTCAGGAGCTGTAAGAGGGGGGCAACAAGCAGTGGGAATCTAATATTTAAAGATAATTTCAGAACATGGAGATGAAAAAGTGATGAAAGGAGAAGGCCGAACCTTCTCTCTTCCCCCTCCAAGATTTATTGAAAATTCTGTGGTTTGCATATAGGAAATCCTACGTGATTCTGCATTTAAATGCTAATACATTTATTTATTTCAAATTATTGACTGAATACCAACTTTGAGTTTTGATGTTAAACAGCAGCTTCTCCTGGTCCCCCCAAAGCTCCCAGTCCTCCCTGTTTAATGGGAAAGGTTAAACTTTTTAGAAATCTAACATGATTTAATAAGACTGTTATTAATGGAAATTCAAGATGCTACTGCAACAAATAGACATATTCAGTACAGTATCCTGGGCATTCAGGAGTGTTTGGGGCAGGGCTGATGCCCTGAAAGTTAAATAAGTGGAAAGAGAAGAAGATGTTGGAATCTCAGCAAAGGGGCTGCACACAGAATTGTGCAGAGGACACTGAATGATCCCGTTGTGCTGGAGTATAGAAGGCCATGGGTGGTGGGAGGTGGAGCATTTCCTGTGGTAGGTGATGGAAAAGTTGGGCTCACTGTCTCAATCTTTGGCACCTTGCTGGTTAACCCTATTGAGTAAATATAATCTTTGTACGACAATTGGGAACCTTTGCAGTGTGTGGGCTGGATTTGGCAATCTCTGGTCTTAGTTAAAGGTTTATAGGATGAATCTACCTGAAGTGGACATCTCAATGCTATCATTAAGCAGTCGAGTTGCCTTTGCAAAGTAATTTGCTACTTTTGAATAAAAATTTCTCCACCCCCAAAATGAGGAATGTATGATTTTTAGCTCATTCTAGTTGTGCTATAACAGGATGGTATCTTTGAAAAAGGTACTCTGGCACCCTGAGGAAATTGCCAAGGTGTCAGTGTCATCTGTATGCCTAGGGTGGCCATACGATAGGAAAGAGCATAAGAGTTAAATACAAGCAGATGTGGGAGAAAATTTTAGCTATGTGATCTTGGACTGATTATTTAATCATTTTTAAAGTCTGTATCTTTACCAGGGTGCAGTAATACCCACTATGCAGAAGTATTAGGACAGATGGAAATAATCATAAATAGTATGCTCAATACTGAGTTCACCTTAATTAGTTGTAGAACTGAAGGGCCCAGAGAATATGTACTGAGTTTGGCCTTCATGGGTGTGTATAGTATAGAACTGCATTTCCCAAAGTTTGTCTTACAACTGTCATCACCCAATATCACATCAAGTGTGGCTTCTAGTTCTTTTTGGAGCTGAGAATAATCATGTCACTTTGGGAGCTTCAAGGACAGATCTGCAGCTTTTTGGACATCTGGATCTGATGCCAAGTGGGCAGAAGTCAGAGGGAAGTTGGACTCGTTAGTTTAATTGTTTGTCTTGTTGAGTTTTATTTTCTCAAAGCTATTTTCTAAATCTGTATTTACTTGCTTATTGTCTCTGCCTGCAGTCACAGATGCTCACTGAGAGGGGAGGATTTGAACAGACAGTGGCTCTCTCCCAAAGCCCATCTCCAGCCAACGATTTACCATGCCAAAGGACTCCTCTACTACCTGAACAGCATTGGTCGGGGGCCTGTGGTGAGTCACTTCCTTCTATTTCCACTCCTTCCTAGCTCCTTCTACCCCAAGAGGGAAATTATCCTCTGTCAAGGCAAGAATGCCAGACAAAAGCCAAAGACTGATGTCTGACAAGCTGTAATGTGGGTTGTGTTTGTTTCTCACCCTGCCATATCAAACTACCACAACCTGGTGGCTTAGGACTACACAAACTTATTATATCACATCTCCTGTGGCTAGAAGTCTGAAACCAAGGTGTTGCAAAGCCATTTTCATATCAAAGAGAAAAATCCATTTTTGCCTCTTTTGCTTGTGATGGTTGCCAACTTCCTTAGTGTTCTTGGTTTGTAGCAACTTTAATCTCTGCTTCTGCCTTTCAAAGGCCATCTTCTCCCTTTACTAGTGTCAAATTTCCCTTTTCCTCTTCTAAGGATAAAGGTCACTAGATAGGGCCTACTCTAGTCCACAATGGCTTCTTCCTACCTTTATTACACTCACAGAGACCTATTTCTAAATAAGGTATTGAGGATTAGAATTTGAACATATCTTTTTGGGGACATAATTCATCTTACAACATAAGTAAGCTATTGGTACAATATTCATTCCATTACCTAGGTCTTAAATTTTGTTTTGTTTTGCTTTTTAACAAGAAGGAAAATGTCACAGCATTAGTGTTTGGAAAAATCCTCTAGATGTTCGTATTCATATTGAGCTAATACCAATTTCAAAAGATGACTCTGGAAATCTAGGTGCTTTTATATCTAGGCTTTTCTTTTGGGCTTCTGTTTAGGGGCAAAACCGACTATTTGAAGCCAGAGGTCTGGGCTCAAGATAAGAAAGAGGAAATGTTGGGCAAGCAGCCATATGAAAATGCTTATTCATTAAATGTCTACAAATATGTGGAGGGACATATATCCAAATTTAGAGTCCTTTTGTAACCCAAGAAAATTAACATGGAGTGGAGAAAATTTCAAATTGGCCAATTTAGTCATCTCTATCATTAACCACTTTGTAACCATCTTATATGTGAAAAAGTTGAAGCACTTTGTTTGTTCAAGCAGGTTTGTTGAAAAGCGGATGAGTTTATAACATAGACTCTTATTTAAATCTCAAAAGAGAGCAACAGGGCCAGTGATTTTGCTGAGATCACTTGAAATTGTATGGCAGCATTGGGAATTGGTTCTGGTGTGTTCTTCTCTCCGCAATGCAGCCTCTCTTCATTACTCACTCTGTGAAAGAATGTGTCTATTGTTTCCATTGCTATCCTCAGGTTCAGTGACTTCTCCAGAGAAGAAGACTCTCCTAATGATATGCTCATAATTACAGTGGAAAAGTACAGACCACAATCAGCAAAGGCAAAAAGCCTATGGTGGTGTCCAGGTGGGATCAGTTGGGAGTTCCCAGGTGTCCTCCTCCAAAAGAGGTGTGGGGAAAATGCTTCACCTCCAGCTCTTGTAACTGCCAACAGGGACTCTCATTAGAGTCTTGGTGTCCTTTTAAATGATTATTTTAATTATGCCTATTTATGGGGTGCAATTGGTAATTTGATCCATGTATATAACGTGAATAATAATCAAATCAGGGTAGTTAGCATTCCCACCCCTTGAAACATTTATGAAAATACTTTTTTGGTAATCACATAGACACAGAAAGACAAATGTTACAAGTTTTCTCTCATGTAGATGCCAGAAAAGACAATCTGATGTAAATAGTGATTACTAGAGGCTGGCAAATTTGGAGGGAGGAGGGATAGAAGAATGCTGAGCAATAGGTACCAAAACACTGCAAGATAGAAATGCTAAATCCTAGCATTCTTCATTACACTGGGGTTACTGCAGTTCATAACTTATAATATATTTTACAAATAACTAGACAAGAAGAACTTGTTTTTTGCCAAACAGTGTAATTATAAAGAGATGGAAATATTAATTACTGTGATTTGATCACTATGTAATGTATACATGTAATTGAAACATCATACTGTGTCCTATAAATAAGTCCAGGATTTTTACCAGGGGTCAGTGAGTATTTCCCATGACTGATTCTAGTTACACAGTCTATGTGATTCTGTGAAAGTCAAACTGCTATCTCCTAGCCCAATACCTCCACCAGAAATCACACTGTTAACTCCAAATATATGGCATGGTCCAAGTCCTTAGTTCAAAAGAGACACACGTATCCAATGTTATTCCAAGGGTGTAAAGTAAATCTCTCAGAAGACAGTCAAGGGGCAGAATATTTTTTGAAATGTGCAAGGTTTAAGTATTGCAGACTCTGAATTAACTTCTTTTTGAAAAAGAACAAAGTAAAAATTTCCCCTTTAAAATCCTCGCTTTATATTGGTTAAAAGGTGCAGTATTCTTATGCAGACTACTATGCCTTTCATTCTAGAAAGCACCATAATTTGTGATGTTGATCTCTGGAAGCAAGCTGTGGCCAGTCTCATCGTTGAAACCTGGAGAAAGGATGTCTCTGAGCAGGAAGATTTAACTGCCAGGCAGAGTGAGAGAAGCAATTTAGAAGGAAAGATCTCCCTATCTGATACACATTTATACACACGCACATTAAACCCACAACAAGACAGGATTCCTTTCTGCTCTGACAATCTCTAATTGAAGAGCGGAACATTTATTTTAAAGCATGACAGGTGAAAGGCTTATATAAAAATATAAATAAACATTAATTAGCTATAAACATGACAGGCACAGACTTGTTTCCTGCTGGGACCATCTGAGAGGTGGGTAAGAAACAGCTGAGTACTAAATGCTATTCACAGCGTTACAAAGCTCTCTAATGGGCTCAACATCACCTTTCAGTTACCTACAAAGCTATGTTTAACCAGCCTCCTGCTGCAGCAGAATCACTGCTGCTCTCTCCAGACTGGGGCCTGTCCCAGTACTGGGAAGATTTCCACTGGGTCCAGATTGACTTCTTGGCTATATGGTTGGAGATTAACAGCAACTCTGCCCAGCTGCCAGCTCTTAGGAAAATGTTTGCTGAAGCACAGTGGAGCCAATTGACGGTGGCTGTAAAGTCCTACCTGCTCTAGGTGTTATTCGGGCATTTGAGTGTTGGGATTGCTAAAGACCAGACAAGCCATGGCATTTATAGGTAATGTGACAGTATTCCCAATTGTTCCAAATGTATTTCCATCCTTTCATCCATCCATTCATTGACCCACCCACCCATCCATCTGGACAGTCATCCACTTGTCCATTCATGTACAAAATTTGTGCGCCATCACTGCACTGCATGCCAGATATGCAAAACCAACTTTAAAAAGGATGGTCCTTGTCTTTCAGGACAACTTCACTTTACTTTGGTAGAAAATACAGTCCGTTCTACAAAGAAACTAATATGGTACAGAGTAGTTAAAACTGTAACAAAGGCTTGTGTGGAACATACATGGGATTTTATTGAAACACAAATGAGGAACTGTTATTTTCTGTCAAGGTTGTGGAAAGGCCAGAGGCTGGAGGTGCCATTTCAGCTATATTTGAAGATTGAGTTAGAATGTCCCTTGTTTTTTGTGCTAGTAAAGTAGACATGATTATGATCTCCTGGGTCTTCTGCATTGTGAAATTGGAGAGCCAATGAAATTTCTATGTTTGGAGTCTCTGCATGGGCAAAGGAAAGGAATCTTTTCATTTAACTGGTGTCAGAGAGTTATCCGATGTCACACACTTTCCTGTGACCCTTATTCCATTTTCTTGAACTAGAACTTGTTTGTTAGAAAATCCAAATGTAGGACCCAAAAGTTCAGACGTAGAATAAATGTTAGTGTATGTATAAGGAATATCTGTAACCAAACAGAAAACTCAAACAAAATAAAACAAATGAACTACTGAGACCTCAGTACCATGAATTAATTTCAGAAATATTATATTAAGAGAAATTGAATCATAAAAATTACATACCCTGTGCTCATATATATATGAAAGTTCAAGACCAGTAGAGGTAATTTATGACAATAGAAATTAGAACAGTTTTTGCCTCAGGGAAGGTGAGTCAATAATAGAAATCAAGAGGGAATTTCTTTGGCCAGTGGAAATATTTTATATCTTTTTTTAAGTACTGAGGAATGACCCCAGACCTTTTGCTCTGAGCTATATCCATTGCCTTTTCTATTTCTCATACTGAGGCAAGCACTCACCACCTTCCTCTGGTGGGAAGCAAACTTGTGATCCTTATGCCTCCACCTCCCAGAGTACTGGGTTTACAGAGGAGCATCACTTTGCTGGTTATATTCTACATCTTGATTGAAGAGTTAGGCACACCAAAACTCATTGAACTATAAAATCAGGATCTGTGCTTTTTTATTATGGGGACACATTTACCTAAACATATAAAATAGAAAAATAAATAAACCAAACAAGTTTATAGAGCTTTAAAAGGCAAGTGAGAATGAAAGGAAGCTGCCTAAAATAAGACTGCCAGCTCAGAAGCATGCTAATCAAATGGAAGAGGACGTCTTTTCCAGAACAGAGCAGATCGTGTGGAAGAAGATTGTCTAGGAGTCAGAAAGACTCAGCCAGAGAGAAGTCAAGTCAGCAGGTTTTCTTAAACAAGTAGACAGGTTCTGCTGTCAGGTTGCAGGCTGCACTGACTCAGTCTCTCTTTGTGAGGTTCCCATGGAGGGGCCCAAGGTCAAGGGGTTTCTAGAGAACAGTGCTGCCAGGGGAAGATAGCTCTCCGGCTGCAGCAGGCTCCGGGAAGGTGGTGACAGCTTCCTCGGAGCTGCCGTGCTGCAGCTGGCCTGGCTCTCCAGCTGCTCCGAAGACTTGGGGCCTCAGAATTAGGAGAGCTATCGATTCCCATCCCCTTGGCTCTTGCCATGAGAGTGCATGTTGGTAAAGGGATTCAGTGTGCTTTGAAGAGCTCATTGATTTCCATTTACAACTCACAAACAGGGCTGGCTTTGGCCAGGGGGCAGGGTGAGCATATTTTGTTTCTTTTTTCTGTCTTTCTTTTTTTCTGGAACTCGATGGAGTAGAATTTTTAGCTACTTAAATGATTTTTCT